CGTGTACCATAAAGAATGTGGTTAGATGGTTGGAATTATTTCATCCTTATAAGTTAGAGGTTTTGATATCACTTGTCAATCATTTTAAAATCAAATGTTTCCCTTTTTTGTCTCTTTGAGTGCATATTTATATTTATGCAGAACTAATGCTAATATATAATCCGTTTATAATAATGGAAGTTATAATTTGGTACTTTCTAATTAAAAAAACACTCAATTAATTAAATCCCAGTATATAGGAGACAAAAAAGATAAAGTCCTTACATATATCACTCCTATCATAATCTCAACTAAGTATACTACATAATATAATAATTAAACTCAAATATCTTATCCATATATAATAGTCAAAATTTCACAGCTCCAACTATAGTATCACATGTTCTAATTCTAAAAACAAACGCTTCAAAATCAAATCAATACCACTGAATCCACGTAACTAAAGAGAAACTTTCCTCTCACATTCAATATCCTTAACATCTTGCCTTTGTAAATCTACCACCATATTACAATTCATCCTTATATCAACACTCTTCTTAATCACACCTAAATTAACCTTTCCATTAATATTTGTGGACATACTTACCGGCAATTCCCCCGCTATCAAATCACTCGTTAATCGAGGAATCACGATTAATTTTTCAACCATAACCATGACTTTCACGTTCATACTAAACGTCCGTCGAGCCCTAGCAGACCCTCGTGGAAGCATGGCTTCCGCGATGATTCTATCGCTATAAATCAAACTAGCAGTCGCAGGCTTAAACTTAAACGACACCGCATTAGGATTTTTAATAGACATATCAGCAGAAACTGTAATATTCATATTGGTTTGAAGATTGGAACTACTAGTAAGGGAACTCAACCCCTCGAATCGGATCGAGTTCATCCTTATCGTTGGATCTTTCACCTTGAAAACCGTGAGAGCAAGGATCAAGATGACGATACCTATAATTATCGTCGTGATACCACAACAACCACAACATTTTATACACCTCCTCCTACGACGTTGCTTCTTTGATAACTGTATACTGGATGTAGACGTGTAATTAACACCTTCTTCATTTTCGATGTGTATACGATGAGATGGTGCCAAAGGACGAACTTGATCTCTAGATGAATTTGGAGATTGTGGTGGAGACATTTTTTTAGAGATTTTATCAATTGGAAGATTGATACTTTATTTTGTGTACTATGATATGAAAGGATGCATTTATTATTTATATGACTATAGTGTATGTATTAATTAAATTAACCGCGTTAGCACGACTTTGAATATGGACTTAATGTGGGACATGTGATGTAATTGTGTTGAAATTTTTTTATCGTCTTTTTTCCTTTTAAATAATAAATTTATTATATTTAGTACTAATAATTATATATATAATAGTCATGGAAGCTTCTCCTTGTGAATTATTATCATATTTGCCAAAATAAAATACATTATGGATTTATTTATATTATAATAATTGCATCCTATATTGAAGCTTCTATATATCTTTGCAACATATAGGTGATGGCATGAGCGAAGCTAGAGTGGTGAAAATAAAGGTGGATTCAGATGTAAGATTATATCTAATTAGTACATATTTATATGTTTATATTTCGTATAAAAGTTGTTGATTCAGATAAATTTGTAGTTAGAGGCTATATTTCTGAGCGGAAGATAGTATATCAAAACTTCATGAATAGAAAATTTTCATTGCCACTAAGTTAAGGAGCTCAAATTTTCGAATAACTTTTTTAAGAGGTTTGTTGTTGCACAATATCGACTTTCTCCAAAAAGAAGAAGAATTATTTTTAAAAAGAAGAGTATCTTATTGTTATATTCATATTCATATCATGAAATATTGACTTGAAGATGCAAAATTAGTTATCAATAAGAAAGTACTTCTAAGAAAAAAATATTGGAGAGCTAGCAACAACAAAACTTTTACCTGGTCTTGTACTTTTTTTCTCATTAATTATTCAAAAAATTGTGCCCATGAAACTGGAATTAATTAATTAATTAATTAACTTTCTTTATAACATGGGTAAGAAATAGACTAATTAATTACTCTTACAGACTTTTGATGCAACTAAAATTAAAAAAGGTAAGACTTGAGTGATTTGAAAATTCTAGGTGGTGTGCTATATACTAGAAACTAGAAAATTATAACATTTTAATCCCTTAATTGTCAAAATTAACATGCTACGACTCCAATAATAAGTGGAAATATACAAAATAAGAACAAATAACAACAATAACAATAACATATTTGATGTAGTACCACAAATAAGGTTCGAAAAGGATAGAATGTACACATACTTTTTTTTTTAAGTAGAAAGACTATTTTCGACAAATCTTCGATTAAAAGAATGTAATCAAAACACAATTTTTTTAAAAATAATAGAAAGGAATATATATATACACACGTTATAGCCGATTATTTGGACCTTAAAAAAGAATATATGAAGCACCTGTTATTAGCCGTTCTATCATACTATGTAGCCATGACTTTCTATACTTTAATGTGAATTAGTGTTAGAGTTTAGAAATTTTATCAAGAGATTAACAAATAATAAAAAAGTAAATATGCGAAGAAGTCAAAAATAAAATACTATATAAACAAAAGTAATAACTTTGATGTAAATGTAACCGCTATTTTTAAGTATATAATCTATTTAGGTTCATGATGTAAATGTAATCGCTATTTTTAAGTATTAATAGATGATGAACCATGATTTGAAGTGTATGTATTTTATGATTATAATTTTTTTAAAAAGTAACTGGATTTAAAGTAATATATATACAAAAATAATAAACTTCTTAAGATAACTACAGATTTAAAACTTATCAGATTTTGATTTTTTTTTTTTTTTTTTTTTACCGTGGTTTCCGGGCGTCGCTTTGCGAACCCGACTAGCTGTACCCACCGGGTCCCGCTGTTTCAAGGCGGGTCCACCACGGTTAGTTCCACGGGGCCCTGGAGACGCGGCCGGTTTGTAATGCCTCCAGTGGCCCTGCTGGGGCTCGAACCGGCGACCTGAAGGACTTTGTCCCAGGCCTTTACCAGCTGAGCTACCCGTCAGGATTTTGATTTTGATTCATAAGTTATATGTCAATTCCGCCTCATATAAGTTACACATTAAAAAGGTGCATTGGGATTTTCTCACTTTACCACCTATTTGTGAAATTATTTATAAGAAAAATAAATTATACATATAGGGAGTAAAATAAAGTTTTTACAAATTAAGTTATTCGATTTAATGAATATCTACATATAAGCCTCATAAATTATGATGTTCATAATCTTGAAAAAATACAATTTATTAAGTAAGAGCAGTTACTTCATTAATCTGTCTAAAGAATAAAGAGTACAAACTTACTATTATTGAAAGATTTTTTCTTAGAGGAAAATCATCTATGAAAGAAAGTACTTATTAGACAATTTTATCTCATTGGTCCAATTAAGATTGCTTACTTCAATTCTCAACATGTCTATTTTGATTATGCGGATGACCTAGAATGTAATCATATCTTATTCAAGGAGTACCTTTGAAAATTCATTCAAATTTCAATTCTCAAGAGTCTATTTTTTGGTGTGCTTTTCTTCTAGAAAGCCAATGTAGTAGGGGTGCCGTGGGTTCATTTGAACTTAATATTTTTGATGCAATATATAAATTTAGCATAAAATTAATTAAAATTATTATGTTTGAACCTATAATTTTACAAACACAATAAATTTAATACTTAAAATTCCAAAATTTGAAATTAAAAGGCTAAAATCATGAATTAGTCTTTAAAAACAGAAAAGCTATTATTTCCTCTCCATCCTAGGATTCTTTTTCCATTAACGCTTGATAGCAAAAAAAAATTGAGTTAATGAGAGATAAAAGAAATAAAATTAACATATATATAATATATTTGATCCCAAATGTGGATTTAAAGTTTTTTAATAAGTTAATACGAATAAGTAAAATATATTAGTCATTACTCGGCGTGCAATACTTAGTTTTGAGTCTTATTAATTTAGATTTGTGTCAGAAACTCTTGTTTTGAGAGGTAGAACTGTCATATTAAAGACGATTCTATTATTGAGGCTCAAACTCAAAAACTTTAAATATATATAGGTAAATGTTACAAATCCATTTAATTGTGTGGATGTTTCTTTTCAATCTACACCTAACACAATGCCCCATTTAATGTATCACTTAAAGAGCTTTTAACGTATTTGCTTAACATTGTAAACGAGTGATTTCTTCATCCTATAAAAGGGTATGCTTCACCCTTGTGAAAGATAACACTTGAAGAGATTTATACTTTTTATCACTATTTTGTCTCCCTATATTGTTTAGTATTCTTATATTTTCTTCTTGTTTTACAACACGTTATCAGCACGAGTCTCTAACCAATTAAAACCTACTTAATTCGGAATTATCTTTTTTCCTAAAAGTTAATCAACTTTCTTTTAGAGTCAAGTATGCATTTATGTGTTTATAACATCTCTAATAGGACTTGCATAAATCTTTGATCTATATAACTTATTTTAGGTATTATTATGATACTTTACTAGACATAATAATCAATACGTTATACGTTTCAGATTTATATTTTATGTTGTTTATATGCTACTAACTTATAACTCTAAATTAAATATTAGGGAATATGATAACATGCTAGTTACAAGACTTGTAAGTATTTTCTTGTCATAAATCTATGATAAATATTTGTGTGCCATAAATAAGAATAGTATTATATTAAATATGACTTGAAAATTTTATAAAAGTTGACGTTAATAGCTATATTGAAACTAGTAATAAATATTGTAAAATAATTAGAACATAGATTAAATTTATCATTTCATACTTTATGAGTTTAGATTTTTCGTAACATTTCATGTTCATATATATAATATATTTTATACTAATTCCTAATCATTTGAAACATTAATTTATCTTTTATTATAAAGATATCAACATCATGTTATTAACTCAACTATTTAATGATAGTTTTCATCATGTCGAATTTGCCAAAGCTTGAATTTGTGGCACTTGACATTTCTAAAAAAAACTATTTGTCATGGGTACTTGATGCTGAAATTAACCTTACCGCTAAGGGTCTTGGTGATAGTATAATAGAAGGAAATAAAGTATTAAGTCAGGATAAAGCGAAAGCTATGATTTTTCTTCATCATCATCTTGATGAAAACCTGAAGGTTGAATACTTAACAGTGAAAGATTCACTTGAATTGTGGGTAAGTTTGAAAGGGAGATATGACCACCTCAAGGCAACGGTATTGCCAAGGGCTCGTTATGAGTGGATGCACTTATGGTTTCAAGATTATAAAAACGTAATTAAGTATAACTCTGTTGTATTTAGAATCACTTCCCAATTAAAATTTCGTGGGGAAGTTATAAAAGATGAGGACATGTTGGAAAAGACACTAACTACTTTCCATGCATCCAATATGATATTACAGCAGCAATACCGTGAAAAAGGTTTTAAAAAATACTCTGAATTAATCTCATGGCTTCTGGTGGCTGAGCAACATAATGACCTTTTAATGAAAAATCATGAAGCCCGTTCCGTTGGAAGTGCTCCATTACCGGAGGCACACGGCCAGTCTGAAATAAGACAAAATAATCGGGGCCATGATAATGTGTGTGGGCGTGGCAAAGGCAAAAGACGATATAATAATCGTCGAGGTGGCGGTTATAACAAAAGGGAGAACAATATAGGTTCTCAAAATAATCCGTCAAAAGGAAAGGTGATCACTGTCATCGTTGTGGCCTTAAAGGTCACTGAAAAAATGAATGTCGGGTACCTGAGCATTTTGTCAGGTTTTATCAAAATTCCTTTAAAAGGAAAGGAAATAAAGGTGGTCCTTCCTCTTCTAATGCCCCAGTAGAGTCACATTTGACTCTCAAAGATGATGCTCAGGCAGGGTCTTCTAAAAAATATGATGAGAATATTGAGGCAAGTTTAGCATTGAAAGATGATGTTATTGATGGGCTCGATGATATTACACATTTGGAAGCTGAAGACTTCTTTGAGGATCACAATTGAAGATTGATAATTGAACTGGGAAATGAATAATGTTGTTATGCGTTTTTAATGTCTTACTTAAAGTTTATGTACTTAAATTTTCTTTTGTTAAATTTCGTACTTCTTATTATGTATTTTTATTTTTATGAAGATAAATAAAATTTCCCAGTCTTCAGTTGGATCCAAGATGAGTAATAGAAATATGTGTCTTCTGGACAGTGCCACAATTCTTACAATACTAAGAGAAAATAAATATTTCTCTCATTTGATTATGAATAAGGCATATGTTAATACAATATCCAGTAGTACAAAGTTGATTGAGGGCTCAGGAAGAGCAGCCTTATTACTACCTGGAGGAACATTATTGGAAATTAATAATGCATTGTATTGTAGTAAGTTTCAAAAAAACTTGTTAAGTTTCAAGGTCATTCGCCAAAATGGCTATCATGTTGAAACTGCAAATGAAGGAAAAATGGAATACCTTTATATTACTACGATAAATGCGAAGAAGAAAACTGTGCATGAAAAATTGCATGCACTTTCTTCTGGGTTGTACCATACAAATATTAGTACGGTTGAATCACATGCCGTAGTAAACAAAAGGTTTACTAGTTTTAATGATTTTATCATTTGGCATGACCGATTGGGCCATCCTGGTTATAATTTGATACGCAGAATAATTGAGAATTCACATGGGCATACTTTGGAGAACCAAAACGTTCTTCAATCAAAGGAATTCTCGTGTGCTGCTTGTTCACAAGGAAAGTTGGTTTCCAAACCATCAACGACTAAGGTTGGAGTGGGAATCTCCCGCATTTCTGGAGCGGATACAGAGTGATATATGTGGGCATATTCACCCTGCATCTGGACCATTTAAATATTATATGGTCTTGATAGATGCATCTACAAGATAGTCTCATGTATGCTTATTATCAACTCGCAATATGACTTTTGCGAGGTTGTTGGCTCAAATAATAAGGTTAAAAGCATAATTTCCATATTAAGCAATAAAAATAATTCGTCTTGATAATGCTGATGAGTTTTCATCTCAAACATTTAATGATTATTCTTTGTCCACTGGAATAACAGTTGAACATCCGGTTGCACATGTTTATACTCAAAATGGTTTAGCAGAGTCATTGATTAAACGCCTTTATTGATAGCTAAACCATTGTTGATGAGGCCAAAGTTGCATGTTTCGATTTGGGGGCATGCTATTTTGCATGCAGCGACACTTGTGCGCATAAGGCCAACCAGTTATCATGACATCTCCCCATTACAATTAGTTTTTTGGTCAGGAGCCAAACATTTCCCATCTTAGTATCTTTGGTTGTGCGGTATATGTTCCAATTGCTCCACAACAACGCACAAAGATGGGTCCCCAAAGAAGGTTGGGGATATATATTGGGTATGAATCTCGTTTTATTATAAAATATTTGAAACCTAGAACTGGAGATTATTTACGGCAAGTTTGCTGATTGTCATTTTAATGAATCAGTATACCCAACATTAGGGGGAGAACAAAAGCAGTTGGGAAATGAGATAGATTGGAATTCACTTTCACTGTCTCATTTAGACCCTCAGACAAATCAATGTGAGCAAGAAGTTCAAAAGATAATTTATTTGCAGATTATTGCAAATCACCTGCCGGATGCATTTACTAACCTTCCACGGGTTACTAAATCATATGTCCCACCTGCTAATTCTTAAGTTTGAATTGATGTCCCGATAAGACAAAATGTTAAGTCAAATGAGTCTGGACCACGCTTAAAACGTGGTAGACCAATTGGTTCCAAGGATAAAAATCCTCGAAAAAAGAAAGGAATAAATTATCAAGATGATCATAATATAAAGGCAATTGCTCATGAAAAGCTCCGAGACATAATAAATTATGACACCACAGAAAAGGTCCATGTACCTGTAACTAATGAGAATGAGAAAATCTCTACAAATTATGTCTCGACAAGAAAAATGTGGAATCAAAATAATATTGTGGTGGATAATATTTTTGCCTATAATGTTGCAGTTGAAATAATGCAACAAGATGAGGATTTAGAACCAAGATCTGTCAATGAATGCAGACAGAGAAGTGATTGGTCAAAATGGAAGGAAGCAATTCAAATCGAATTGGCTTCACTTGAAAAATGTGAAGTTTTTGGACCAATAGTCCGAACACCTGAATGTGTCAAGCCAGTGGGGCACAAATGGGTTTTTGTGAGAAAACGCAATGAAAATGGTAAAGTCGTAAGACATAAAGCAAGACTTGTGGCACAAGGAATTTCTCAAAGGCCTGACATTGATTATGAGGAGACGTATTTTCTTGTGGTATATGCAATTACCTTCAGGTATCTAATAAATATGACAGTTCATGAAACGCTTGAAATGCATCTAATGGACGTTGTCATAGCCTATTTATATGGCTCACTAAACCATAATATTTTTATGAAAATCCCTGAAGCACTCAAAGTGCCTGAAGCATATAAAAATTCAAAAGAAAGTTGTTCAATAAAGCTTCAAAAATTCTTATATGGATTGAAACAATCAGGGCGAATGTGTTATAATCGTCTTAGTGAATACTTGCTAAAGAAAAGGTATAAGAATGACCCTATTTGTCCTTGTATTTTTATACGAAGGTCAAAATCTGAATTTGTAATAATATCTGTTTATGTTGATGACTTGAACATTTTGCAGTAAGTTTATTGGCGAGATTCAGCTCATGTCCAACAAGAAGACATTGAAAATATGTTAAACATATATTCAGTTATCTTCAAGGAACAATTGATATGAGATTGTTGTATTCTAATGCATCCAAGTTAGAAATGATCGGTTATGCAGATGCTGGCTATTTGTCTGACCCATATAAAGCTCGATCTCAGACATGCTATTTATTCACATATTGAGGTACATCTATATCATGGCGTTCGATGAAGCAAACAATAATTGCTACTTCTTCAAATCATGCAGAGATAATAGCCATTCATGAAGCCAGTCGAGAGTGTGTATGGTTGAGATCAATGACTCAACACATTTTGCAATTATGCGATCTTTCTGTGCAAACAAAGACTCCAACAATATTGTATGAAGATAATGCTGCTTGCATAGCTCAATTAAAGAGAGGATATATCAAAGGAGACCGAACAAAGCATATTTCACCTAAGTTCTTTTTCACACATGATCTTCAACAAAATGGTGAGATAAATGTTCAACAGATTCGTTCGAGTGATAATCTTGCAGATTTATTCACTAAGACATTGCCAACGTCAACATTTGAGAAGTAAAGATATGAGATTGAAATGTGTCGTCTCCAAGATATCAAATAAAGTTTTCATTAGGGGGAGTAAAATACGCGTTGTACTCTTTTTCCCTTAACCAAGGTTTTGTCCCGTTGGATTTTCCTGGTAAGATTTTTAATGAGGCAGCACTCCAGGCGTATTACAAGATGTGTGTACTCTTTTTCTTTTACTAGGTTTTTTCCCACTGGGTTTTTCCTAGTAAGGTTTTAACGAGGCACATTATCTATAAACATCCAAGGGGGAGTGTTACAAATCCATTTCATTGTATGGATGTTTCTTTTCAATCTACACCTAACGTAATGTCCCATTTAATGTATCACTTAAAGAGCTTCTAACGTATTTGCTTAACATTGTAAACGAGTGATTTCTTCATCCTATAAAAGAGTATGCTTCACCCTTGTGAAAGATAACACTTGAAGAGATTTATACTATTCATCACTATTTTTTCTCCCTATATTGTTTAGTATTCTTATATTTTCCTCTTGATTTACAATAGTAAAAGAGTACTTATTACCCATCAATTTCTTTTAGCAATCGTTGTATTTATACTCTCCCACCCCCACCTCCCATAATAACCCCACCCCACCTCGCATAATAAAATTTATCTATGATTTGTTTATATCGCCCATAAAAATAACATTTATCTATGATTTGTCTATACCGTCCATAAAAATTATCAATTAATGGGGTTACTTAAAAGTGTGATTCCCGAGTAAGTGTGCATGTATATTACTCGTGAACAGATTTGTATTTGAGGAAACAAACAAATTTCATTTCAGAAATAAAAATTATAGGGAAAAAAGATAAATTTACCCCCGAACTATTGTAAATGGTATGCAGATATCCTTCGTCATACTTTTAGGATATTAGTGTCCCTATCAGCTAAAAACTAGAGCATGTATACCCCTTATACGATGGTAATAGCTTTGATATCTATTCAACGTATCCAAAAGTAACTATATAATAACACGAAGGACAAAAGGCTTCGTATTTTTCAATGATGAAGTTTATTTTCCAATAGAAAAATACAGCTTCAAGCAATACTTTTCAATAAGCAAGTATATATAGTGGCAAAGAAGAAGTAAAATGAATTGAAAATTTATAAATTACTCACTCTGTTCTTAATACTTGTCTACTTTTAAATTAACATATTTATTAAAAAAACAATAATTGATATAATAAGTTTACCATTTTACCCCTATTAATTATGAAGTAGATGAATTAAAAAACTCAAGATTTTCTAAAATTTCAACTTTTTTCAAAGTAATTAAGGACAAATGTAGTATTAAAATTAATAAAAAGAAGAATGATTCCACCTTTCAATAGGATGAAAACTCATCACCTTTTGCATAATACTTTACTATCTAGAGAAAATTTGATGAAAGAACAGTTGCATGTTTCACAATTAATAAACTTATTTTTATAATATAACAATAATTAATTGAAAAACCATTACATATTCACAATTTAAAAGATATTTATTCTCATAATATAACATATAGGGGAAGCTATAACATTTGTAAAAATAGGGAAAAGACACAATAGTTGAAAAATACAGTTTAGTGGGATATTTTGTTACAGATTTTTAAGAATATAAACAAAACAAAATAAAATAAAAAATTTGAGAAGACAGAGATATAGATGGTTACTTCATCTCTCTTAGATTCTCGATTTATTAAATACATTTTCAATTTCAAAAGTTAATTTTAGATAATAAAACTTATATAT